TGCGATAGTCGGAGCCGATTCTCCGCCTACCTTCACTTTTGAGCTGGTACAGGGTGAACACCTTCACTTTTGGGTTTGAAAATTTTTTTGCTAAAGCTCAAAAGAAGGAAAATGAGCAAAAAGAGTGTAAAAGAAAGTATTAAGAGCATATATCTATGTAGTAGGTCGATTCAGGCAGTGACCAGTGAACCAGAATTTCGAATGATAAAATAATGAAAAATCGTGAAAAATCATTCCACTGTTACAAATCTGCTGGCTGAAGACCTCCGCAGTTGCGACTTCATAGGTTTTGGAGGGTAAGTGTTGTTCTACCAGGTAGTGAAAAAATCAGTTTGATTCGAGGAGTGGCCGCCGAGAACGAGAATTTTGAAAACCCTTAAAAATCTTCTCAATTTTAGGTTGCTTAATGACAACTGACATTTAAACTCTTGTGAATCCGGACTTTGAAGGTGTGTGATGTTGCGACTTCATAGGTTTTGTAGGGTGAGGTTTGCCCTATCAGAATATGTCTTAGCTGTACCGATCCATTGGAACGTCGCCGAGATACAGGCTCTTAAAAAAACAGGTAAAAAACCGTTTTTCAGCTCATATCTTCTTCAGAACTGCATGAATCATGTTGCGACTTCATAGGTTAGATTCTCCTCTTCAAGAGCTTTCAGATGATACATAATATGTGGGGATTCAATGTTTCTTGCGGCTCTAACCCGGGGTGGAGTACTCCTCTTCACTAATTCTCCACCCCGCCCACTTCAATGTATTGGCGGGAGGCCGCCAGTGGAGAATTAGTGAAGAGAGGTGTACTCCACCCCCGGGCATATGCCGTGGGAGGCGTGAATCCCCCACATATTATATATCATTTAAAAGCTCTTGATGAGGAGAATCCAACCTATGAAGTCGCAACATGAATTATGCAATTCTGAAGAAGTTATGAGCTAAAAAACGGTTTCTTACCTGCTTCTTTAAGAGCCTGGATCTCGGCGATGTTTCAATGGATCGATACAGCTAAAGCATATTCTGATAGGGCAAACTTCACACTACAAAACCTATGAAGTCGCAACATCACACACCTTCAAAGTCCGGATTCACAAGAGTTTAAATGTCAGTTGTCATTAAGCAACCTAAAATTGAGAAGATTTTTAAGGGTTTTCAAAATTCTCGTTCTCAGCGGCCACTCCTCAAATCAAACTGGTTTTTTCACTGCCTGGTAGAACAACACTTACCCTTCAAAACCTATGAAGTCGCAACTGCGGAGATCTTCAGCCAGCAGATTTGTAACAGTGGAATAATTTTCCACGATTTTTCATTATTTTATCATTCTAAATTCCGGTCACTGCCTGGATCGACCTACTTTCTTCGCTGTACATTATAACAAAATTTAATTAATAAAATACGTACAGTTCCGCTGAGCTACTTCCAAATACACTATTTGATAGGCATGTTTACTTTAGATATTTATGACGCTGTATACATAAAAATTTGCTATCAATGATCCCTCTTGCATTTGTTTTGCGTATCTTCCGCGCACTAACGGCAATGACCTGGAAGGATAGACGTTAATGCTCCTCCCCCCTCCCCCCCCCCCTCCCGGTCGACGTTTTTGGGAGGTGAGTGTCCGGCACTACCACCTTCACTTTTGGCCGGCCAGTGGTAGCTAAGACCACCTTCACTTTTGGTGGCCCGGCTCCCCATCGCACCTCTGGGTACATTATGTAACATGCAGTGGCGTCCCCGAGCGAAATTTTTGAAAGTCACTTATATGAGTCATAAAAATGTGCAAGTGACCTGTTCATATTCGCAAATAATTAAAATAATTTTTTAAATTCTCAAAGATTTAACTTAGAAAAATTTTTTTTCGGGAACGTGGCTAAAGCCACGCCCCCTTTTTCAGAAATTTCGGGATTAGGAGGTTAGGAGGGGCCCGCAAATGTTGAGAAGCATACCAAAAATTTGTTCGAGAGCGTGGCTAAGGCCGTGCACCCTCTTTTTGTCCCTCTCCCACCCCTCCCCTCAGAACGGAAATCCTAGGTTCGCCGCTGATATCATGGTATAGTCAACTGCACAAAATCGCCCAAATTGCTGAAAGTTGAAAGTCCGCAAGCGTGATTGAGCGACAAATACACCATTGCTTACACTTCTTGAACTCAGACAATCGCAAAACAGTTTCGGGGAGGAGAAGTTCTAAAACTTTCGGCTGCTAGGTAGGGCGCGGTCAGATAGGGCGGGGTCCACTCACACTGCCCAATAGGAGCGCCCCGAGAGTTTAAGAAATTCAGTTTCCCTCGAAGTAGCTTGCGATTGTCCGAGAATGAGCGAGCTGTTGGCACCTGTGCACACTCAAGCATTTGTAATGGAAAATCTCAGGATTGGCCATTTTGGGCGACCTTCAAGGAGCTTATCGGTGAGAGAGAAGAAATTATGTGCAGTTATCAAGATTCTCAATATCGATGAGGTTGATTTATTAAGAAAGTATCTGTAGGGTATGATTCGTATACAATGCTAGCCATAGCTATACAGTCACCCTAAAAATCACGACTATTTTCCCTGTCTTAGATAAAATTCACTGAAAAACCACTATTCTCTGTGTGAACCAACGCTATATCTAGAGCTATCGTTGTCTAGAGCGGCTTTCAATTTCATTGATCTTGCCCGAAGAAAAATTGAAATTTAAAAAACCTGTCTTGAAGGCTGGTCATAGCTATAAGGCCACCCCTTATATCCAAGCAATACGACATTCTTTGAACCTACAATTTCTGGATAGTTATAGCAACACAATTTTTTTTTATCCTAGCGTTATTCCCTAGTACGGGGTCCGCTGCTCTTTATTTCTTTTTTTTTATTCAATACGTTTAAGCTGTTCTCTATGAAAAAAAACAATGAAGTATTCATGTTATAAAAACACAACAAGAATCAGCGAATTAATTTGATCACTACTCTTTTACTCTTGTGAGTCTTCTCCATTCTTCGTAGTCTTCAGCTTGATGTTCATTTAAGTCAAGTTCGTTCAAGTCTGCATTAACTTTATCAATCCATCTTAGCTTCGGTCTTCCTCTGAGTCTTTTTCCGGGGACTTCCACAGACATTGCTAATCTAGCGACGTGATCATCTTCCTTTCTTCTTACATGTCCGTACCAACGAAATCGCTTCTCCTGTATTTTCTTCACGATTGGCGCGACTTTCATTGTGGACCTTATGGTATCATTGGTGACATGATCATAGTTATAGCAACACAATATGAAACGTATATTGCATCTGGGAGCTGTTATTTGTAGAAAGAAAACTTATACTGCTTTTTTTGCTTCGAAATGCATGAAAAGTCGCCTTATTTCAAGGAACCGCTGAATTGAAACCGAGATTTCAAGCACTTATAACTCGAATGAAGGGTAATGAATATTAGATTTGTTGAGCCTTTTCAATGAATGCGGTGAAGAGCGCTTGAGTCAACTTTGCGTAGTCGCTGTTATTGATAAACAAACCTCAACCTTAAAGGCAGCGCCCATGCAAGATCCATTCACCCAGATTATCACATAGTTGTAAAGAGGGGCCCATGACTCCGATCTGCGTTGGTCCAATCCTTTGACGTGCCCTCTAAAAGGAGATACGGGCCTGTGATACGTATCACAAACCACCCCTGAGTACGAGTGCTTGCGCAGGAATGCGGTTGCACTGCAGTTGCATTGCAATTGCACTGCACACTGCAATGCAACTGCATCCGTACAGTTGCAGCTCCTACCGCTGGCATGACGATGGGAACGAGCAATTCGAAACTCGTCCACCTTTCAAAGAAAGGGTCCCCCAAAACCGGGTTTTTCGGGAGTTTTGAACAATTTTGACTTTACAGCTGTAATCAGAGCCACGGAAAGGCCCCAGAATGGCAGAAATATGAGGGGCGAAATTTTGCCCGGACGCTGCCTTTAACATGTTTGTAAGCACGCTTTGAGACACGAACCTTGACTTCTGGTCAAAAGTTGAAGCTCTGTTTGCATGGAAGCGTACTAATGTACAAGTTTTCAGAATTTTTGCAAAGACGCAACCGCAACGTTTTAGTCAAAATGCTTCTTCTGCAGGTTAGTTGTGCGCAGTGAATCTAACACAAATCTATTCTACTTCTTCTAACTCCTCATCTATCCAATTTTTATGTAACTTAGAATCACTAGAATCTCAAAGTTTTAAGCGGGTTTCCGTCCAGTCGAATGTTCAGAGTGGATTTTGATTACGCAGTGTACGTTACCCATTTCTAAAAGATCAGCGCTCAAGATGAAACTTCAATCCTAGAAGTTGCTATGATGTTCTTGCCATGTGCACAAGTTTATCGTTGAACAGATGAAGTACTGGGCACATGATAGAGCTTTTCTAGCATCAGAACTGAAATTCTGTGGTTCTAAGGCTCTTTTATCTGAGGTGAGGTTGAGTCGCTTTCGTCAGTATTAGCGACTACGCAAAGTTGACTCAAGTTTTCTTACCGCATTCGTTGAAAAGGCTCAACAAATCCTAATAACTTCACCTGATTAGAATAAGTGCATGACTCAGTAAACCAGCAGTTTTTTGGAATAAGGTGACTTTTTATGCATTTTGAAGTAAAAAAGATGTATAGATTTCGTTTGAAAAGGCAACAGCTGCCAGGTATAACAAATGTTTCATAATTGATGTTACAACATACAAAAAATTCTATGCCCAACGAATGCAGTATTGCTCCAAAACAAATGGTGGCTTAATAGCTGTGACCAGCCCCCGGGACAGGTTTTCACAAAACTTTTGGTTTTTCTTTGAACAAAATCACTGAAATTGAGAGCCTTTCTGGACAATGATGTAGCATCGGTTTACACAAAGAACAGGGGTTTCACAGAAATTTTAAGCCAAGGCAAGTTCCGTGATTTTTTTAGGGTGGCTTTATAGGTATGCCAGTACTGTATGCACTCAAGGGTAGCTATAATAATGAGGCTTTATTTTTTTCAAATTTTGAGGACTACTTGCCGTCCATCATCAGAAGCCAACTAAGGACCATGTGGATGAAAGAGTATGCAAAAATCAAAGTAGAAAAAGACTGCACTAGACTGGAAGCGTTGTATGTACGTATTCTAAATGCATGTTACACATCGACTGTGATAAGACCGTGGTTTTACAGAAAGTTCACGCTACGCTTGTAGATGGAAAATTCGCTTTATACAATGAAGAAGTTCGCAAGCAACTGAGGTTGGCTGTGCCATAAATTTTTGTTCTAACATGATGTACCTCTAGGAGGAAATCAATTTGAAACCTTAATTTGTTTTACTTCAAAATGGGTGTGCCTTTCGGGGACTGTGCTTATGCGTAATCAACCACCTTTTAGCATCTTGTGGATGTTGAAAAACAGTTTGCTATTTGATGGGAAATGAAATTATAATCCCTTCGATTCAACGAGATTGGCGGCTGGGACGACCGCTCGCGCTCGTTACGCACTTACGCACTCTGCGCCTCTCTCGCAAATATGCTCTCTGATCACTCTCTAACTTTAACTAGGTTGCTTAACCCCGCCTATCAGCCGCCAATCCTGTTGAATCAAAGGGTATTTCTTATCGTTTTCTTGTCACCAAGGGGGAGGCGCCTTTCAGACGAATTCAAGGCTCAGGTTTCTACTGCTTACATCAAAAAACTCGACGAAACACACTATTAATTATATACAATGATAACTTTTCAGCTTTTTGATCATGCAGTGGATGGCGAGGATATACAGAAAGGATTTGCAGCCGGATCCAAGGCGATTGAATCTAAGAGATGCACAGGTAATAGGATGTGTTCCGTCTTGTAGTATTCCATATAGGTGCGATAATGTGAGAATTTTCTCACTTCCCCTTCACCCCTGAGCCGGGACCAAGGTGACCCTCTTCACCAAAAGCCGAGAAAAAAACCAACAGTGAGGTAAGGTTAAGCAAAGGAGATGCTTGATGAAGGGTGTGGGTAGTGATTTATGGATATTTATGAGTTTTTAGGATAGAAAAAATTCATAACTTTTGTAGATGAACATCTTGTACGCCGGCATGGTCACCATTGGAACCGTCTTGTCCTCCGCTTCCAGAAGATATACAGAGTGTCTGAGATTTATTTAAAAAAGTGCCTGGGTTAACGGTGTCCTAGTGATTCCTGGAGATTCTCGAGTTTTTAACACAAATTCATAACTTTTATAGATGAACATCTTGTACGCCGGGATGGTCACCACTGGAACCGTCTCGTCCTTCGCTTTCAGAATGTGTACAGCACGCTTGAAATCCATTCAAAAACTGCCGGGTGAAGGGTGGTTGAGACTTTTATAATGGAAGTGCTCAAGCAGAGGCTTTTTTACCATTGTAAAAAAACGTCTACTTGAGCACTCCCATTATAAAAGTCTCAACTACCCTTCACCCCGCACTTTTTTTAACGGACCAGAGACAAGGTATATATTCTTTGAAAGCAGAGGACGAGACGTTCCAATGGTGACCATCACGGCGTACAAGATGTTCATCTACAAAAGTTATGAAACTTTTAATGTTAAAAACGCGAAAATCTCTAGAAATCACTAGGACACCCTTCACCCAGGCACTTTTTTTTGAATGGATTTCAGACATGCTGTATATTTTCTGAAAGCGGACATTCAAAGACAATTTCCTTGCTGACGTTGCTGTTTATTTACACAAATTCAAATTTTTTCTTTCAGAAAATTCGCAAATGCTTAAAAACTTTCTACTCTTTCCGAAACAAATCTTTTCGCATTTACATCTTTTATGGTAATTTCAAAAACAGGCAGGGTGATGTGAAAAAAGGGAAAAGGAAATGTAAAAAAATATAAGGTGCTAATCAGAAATACAGGGTGTCCCAAAAAAATGTGAACACTGTTTGATCGTTAAGAACTCCCTTGCTTTCACGTCTTTCGCCGAGCTTGAGGCACCATTCTGTAGAGCGAGGTTCAACTTAGATATGTAGTATGAAGCAAAACTCCCATCTCACTTCGTTACTGTAGGATTACGGTAGAAAATTCGACAAGGTTTTAGGCCGTTGAAGGCCATCTTCTGCCTCAAAACAGAACCAAACAAGCTAAAATCTTTTGTACTATGGTAATGGAAGCCGCTGACTTCGAATATGAAATTTCCACTTTACTACAATGCTTCTTTTCAAAGTTATCCTAGGTAAACTGTAATGACTGATTTTCCAGCATTTGTCAAAATTGTGACTACAATATCAAAAAGGCTAAGAACACTCGTAAAAAGTTGTGTAGTGGAATCAGCGTGTGCGAAAACCTTAATACACGATTTCAGATTTTTTGAGAAAATTTGGTCAGGTGACATGTTTTACAATGGTTCCACATGCTGGAATTTCTTACCGTAATTCTACAGTAACGAGGGAGTTAGATGATTTGCTCCATATTGCAAATCTAAGCTTATCCTCGCTCTACAGAATGGTGCCTCAAGCTCGCCGAAAGACGTGAAAGCAAGGGAGTTATTAACGATCAAACAGTGTTCACATTTTTTTGGGACACCCTGTATAATTGTGTGCTAATCAAGCAGCACATTCACATTTTTCGATTCACATTTCAAAAAAAAGACAACCAGTGATGACAAGGAATTGAAAATTATAAACTTTGACTAGGAAAAATGATGAGAGAACACCATGGCTTCCCCCCCCCCTGTCGACATTTTATAATTTCTCTACCAAGTGAAACACACTTCACTCGGAGGGTCAGCGACCACTGCAAGCCCTTCACCCTGGAAGGGTCATTCTCACCTTATCGCACTTATGTTTCATATCTATTGACAAGCAAATAAACCTTGCTAGTTCATGACTTCAGGTGTTTGCAGGGACACATTTCATTGCTCCATTTGCATACATGTGTCTTAAGATTCTCACTAGAAGTCACCACTTTGGTGGAACTGAAAACTTATAGAATACACTTTTGATTATTTCTTGCTTGATTTCACCTAAACTGGTGGTTTCGGAAACAGTCTTAACGAGCATATTAACTGAGCCTAGGTTTTGAGGTTATATGGATGTTGACAACAGTTTTAATTACCTAAGTATACACCAGACTAGATCCGGAATTTTCAAAAAGGAGTGTAAATAAATTTTAACGTTGTTGTTATAATGAAATCATTTTGTGATTCATTTTAGCAAGTCTAATTAGATCCAGACCATTCAGCTTCAACAATCACTTGCGCATTACTACAAGGTCCGTAATAGTCTGAAAATTCTGAAACTCCCCAGAATACAGCAGGATACCGAAGAAAACCCTTACATTGTGAGTATATCTAGACTTGTCAAGCTCTTCAATGTGTATAGTAACATCATCCTCGAAGAAATCTTTGCAGAGAGCCTTGGAGAATTACTTGAAGTTGTTTAAAAACGATCAAACTAATTATTTCTGCCGCCTTGTTGTGCCAAATGCGAACGGAAACACGATCAGGTTGAAATTTCTAAAAAGTCCAGTTCCCATAATCGAGGAGGTAATGAACTTCTTGGTATTTGCATGTTATCATTGCTATTCGATATAGATGCCGGACTTGGGAGAAATTCCACGGGATGAGCAGAATGAGAGAAACAGGTAATGCGGAATGCTTTGTTATGGTATTCTTCTAGTTTGAACTTGAATTAGCTTACCATGTAATCCTTAGGTTTGTTGATTTGTTATTTGCATGTCCTGACACCTATGCCAAATTCAAGATTTTGCACCTGAATCACGAGTTTAGCGAATAAAGCAGAGTAGGTACCTTTTGATTCAACTGGCTTGGCGACTGGAAGGCGGAGCTTCGTGGCCTAGTTAAGGCTAAATAATCAGAGAGCACGCGCGCGAGAGAGACGCAGATTGTGTCGCGGGCGCGAGCGGCCTTAATAAGGTTATAAAGCCCTCCCCCCGCCCTTCCCTTCCAGCCAAGACAGCCGAATCAAAGGCCAGATGCTTCTTGACTATAGTCAAAACTTATATCCTCAAGAAAAGCAGTAGTAGTAGATGCTTCTTAATTTTAGTCAAAGACCATTTCTTTTAGAAATAACCAACTTCGAAGGTTTGATCCACGTTGGATGCTGACTGCAACACAAAGAAGAATGGCAGAGTTGCAGGTTATTGGATGTGTTAAACATTTTATCCGGAAAACGATTTTTTCAGGACATCAGCGAAACAGTTTGGGAGAAGGCCAAGCGAAGTGACACTATGATAGAACAATCAAAGGCGTTCATGTTAGGCTAAGACTAAAGTTGCATGAGCATAGGAAGAATTAATTTTGGTTTACAGAAATAATTTTTGAGTTTATAACGCTGGTACTTTAGAGGCATATAAAATGAAGTCACTCGTAGATGGTGTACCCTTTGTTTTCAACCAGATTGACTCTGGAAGGCGCGGCTTCGTAACGTATGAAGCGACTGTTCGCATCCGCGACGCAGTCTGTGCTTTCCTCGCGAACATGCTTTCTGAACGTTTTTAGCCTTGATTAAATCACGGAGCCCCACATTCCAGCCGCCGATCTGGTTGAAGCAAAGAGTAAGTAGACATACCTACATGCGTATATACAGGGTGGAGCAAATGTCTGGGAGCCTAGTACTTTCAGATAAAATCAGAAAAGTAAATAGAACAAAGTTTGGTGCATACGAACCTTTACAAATACAGCACAGCTTTCAGACATATGAATTGGATTAATTAAATGAATTTGGATGAATAACCTAAAACGGTTATTCCCGTTCGCGAAACGGGGAACAGGAATAACCTAAAACCTTGAAATTGCTCCATCGATCGAATTCGAATGGATGCTTGTATAGAATGCTTATGAAAAGAACATAACCTAGAACTCAGTGCCTGCTGCGCTCCTTTAGCTTTCAAATTTAATTTTAAAAAACAATGAACACTGGCACCGTAATTTCTGCAATTTTAATTTGCGTTTTTGAAAGAATAGATTTTGGCAAACGCAACTACTGCGATGTGCTAGTGCAAAGCCTCCTTTACACTGTGTGCATCAGAATGTTGCAGAACATTTACAATATTTTTGGCTACGAAATAAATTGCGAATACCCTAAAATCCCATAGATAAGAGCGGTTTAATTCACCGGTGAAAAATGAATTGGAATGAAATGAAATTGAATGCAGGCACCCCTCTAACTTGATGGATGGATAAATAAAAATCGGAGAAGAAGTTTAGAAGAAGCTCCGCCCCTCAACTCTAAACCCCGCCCACTTAATAAACTTATAGAAATTCCGTAATTCCGTTGAAATCGCTATTTTTCTATATGAATGATGCATGATGCATGCTGATGCAGACCATATATAGGGCCTGTCAAACGCAGTGTCGCTTGCTTCAGCATCTCCACTCCCGCGCTGGACTTTGCGTCTCTCTCCCGAACATGCTCTCTTATCACTTTCCCAGGGCAACATGGGAAAGCTGGAGCCTCAATCTATTGGAATGGAGGACGCGCAGGAGGAACCAAGGGCCCAGCCGCGTGTATCCGCAGGAGATAATTAAGAGCGCGAGCACTGTGGAGAAGATTTGGCAAGGATCCAGGAGAACTTGGCAAGAGAACCTAGAGAAAATCCTAAGATAGTAAACGCCTGTAACTTTGCTTGGGGAAGTGTTCAAAAAATAAGTGAGGCAAATTTAAAATCGGCGTTTCATGGCACATTTATTTGGGAGAAAAACGGGTGCTAAATATTGTTAATTCTCAATCAAAAACATTACATTTTAATTTCCTAAGAACTTTGCTAGAAAACTTACTTGGAAGAAACGACTCATGCTCAAGTTTTAGAATGTCGATCAAGAGTTTTTGGATGTTTGAAAACCGATTTTGATTAAACCTTTGGATATCAATAGAACCAAGTCGTTAGATCGTCGCGCAACCAAAGAGCTATGATAGCGTATCAATTCGGAAACAAATTAAGCTTATTTTGCACTTTTCCTAAGAGCAAAAGAATTTTCTAAACTGCGACAGTAAATCGCAAGTATCAACAAAAAGATTTTTTTGTTCTAAGTGCATGCAGCGTAGCAATCGAATGGTTCATGTTTAACAAATCTTGTTCAGATTTCAAACGTCGAGCACATCGTTGGAAAATTTCGGCAGATTTGGGACCCTTAAGAGTATTTTACATCGATGTAAAAAAATTTATTTCTCAATATTTGCCTCACCATTTTGAGTAGCAGCACAATTTAAAAGATTTGAAAAATGCTGGACCTTGCCAGAACGTATTTCCGTAAGCTATCAGACTGAATCTCGGAATTTCGGGGCTATTTCTGATATGTTGAATCTGAATTCTCCAGCAACTGTAACAAACATTTTTTCATTCGATAGCCGTATTCCAGTTTTTCAGTTGCCGACTTTGAGTTTGCCTTCCAGATTTCCAGCGATTTTCCAAATAAAAGAATTTTTTTTTGTTTTAAAATTATCAGTTTTTGTGTTCTTATTCTTATATTAGTGAAGGTCTTGAAAAGCGGAATCCAAAACTGTCTCCATAATTTCTCGAACATTTTCTCAGACAAAGTTATGGGGATTCGTTATTACAAGTTCTCTACAAGTTTCTTTGCCAAATAGTTCTGGATCATTGCCAAATCTTCACCGCAGTGCTCGCGCTCTTGACTATCTCCTGCGGATATGGCGGCAAGACCTTTGGTTCCTCCTGCTAGGCCGCCGATTGGAATGATTAGAGAGCACGTTTCCGGAAGAGACGCAGAGTCCAGCGCGGGATTGGAGATGCTGATGCAAGCGACACTGCGTTTGATAAACCCTATACACATAACACGGGCGGCGGGTAAGGCTATTTTTTGTTATCGATCAATATCGATTTTGCCGATTTTTGTCGATACAATAGCATGTAGAAACACCCATTACTTTCACTGGTTTTATCGATCTGCAAACTTTGAGCTAGAGGGCTGGGAATGAGTACAGGAAAGGGAGTGTAAGTGAACATGACGATTACGAAAACACGAGTGGTAAGGGGAGGGGGGGGGAAGGAACGGGAGGGAAACTCGCATATGCAAGTGAGGTAGGGGACAGGGAGATGTTGTGTAGGAAGGGGGACGACTGGTGAGTTTTAGGGTTTGAGTCGTTACAACCTAACTACAGAAAAAAATACAATGTCTGAAAATACACTTTTTCAGGAGATTTTAGCAGATTTGCTATAGAAAATCTGCGACCAAACCGTCGCAACTTCATTAAAACTTGAGGAAATGATTTTTTTGTGCTCTAGGATATCATATCGCGGATAATCCATTAGCTAACCACCTTTACAGATGCGAGAGCAATCAGTTTTTTGAATCGCAGTGCTCATGAATTAGAACAGATTTCTACTAGTGCACGAATAAAGCTCAAATTCGCAAGTGATATATACTGGGTGGTGTTTTGAAACTTTTTAAATCTATATTCTACTAAGAACCAAGAGTTGATTGGATTCACTGTACCTATACCGCTAGGCAATTGCAGACATTTGCAGTATATAGAAATTGCTTTGTATTCTTAGCTGTTGAATGATTGCTGCCTAGTTTAGCATGCTCAAGCTATGTAGAAAACTTTGCTATGTCGAAAAAAAAATTCATGTGTCTTCTTTATTTGTTGACCATTGCATATGAGAGTTTAATTGCTTTCATCCACCATTTTTAATGTTCAACTTTAGTCACTGAGTAGTAAATAAATGCTTCGTAGATTCGATGTTTCAAATTCCAAAAGTGTGCACGATTAAGACTTGATGATAGTCTGCATTTACACCTGCTGCACGAAATGTTTGCATATGAGAGTTCAATGCGCTCTTCCATGAGCAAGCGAAATTGCAGATTTTCGACACTGGTGGATAAACGTGGGTTGCTGTTGCTTATAAAGATGGTAAATCTTACTTGCTGAAACACTGCATAGCAGAATTTATTGTAATGCTAACGGTAATGGTGCGAAAAATGCTTCACACCATAGAATCATGCACTCTGGTCTCACTGAAAGGCGAGCATTTACGTTAATATTACCCTAAGTTCACCCTATAAGAAGCACCTCTTTCGGCTTTTCAGGGTGCCTCAGCCGCTTTGTTGTGTTTCAGCTAGCACAGACACTTTGCTTACATAAGTTTTCATACTTTTTGTTTACATAAAATGTATCTACACTGTAAAAGATTGCATATGGAGAAGAAACAGTTTCATAATGTTCTCTTTTCAGCGTTTTATAGCAATTTGAAAACCACTCGGTCTGCTCCGCTGTCGAAAAATCGGCTTTTTCTGCTTCTCAAGATGTGATTCGTCCACTTAAAAAGCTCAGAAAGCTGTGAAAAGTTCTTTCATGAAATCAGAAGTGCATGAAAACACTACTACATTTTTTACAATAATATAAAAATGATGACGGTTTTCAAAACAGGTCAAAAGGGACTTCGTACAAAATTTTCTATATCAAACGGGACTTCGCTTTGAAATTTCCCTGGTGCCAGCTCGTGCCGAGCCCTATGGATTATTTATCGACTGTCGCCATCTAAGAGAAGCAAGAAAGAAGTTCAATTCTATCTTGTATCTCTCAATTCTCAAATATTTGACCTTTTACTACACTTTCTGTAACACCGGCAAATTCGAAATCTGAAATTTTCTGCGAACTTCGAATTCAATTTGGCATTGGTGACTGCTGAAACGGACGTCTCTCAACATAAACCCGCTTATGACTATCTATATCAGTCTTGCTTTAAGAACTCCCAATATGTAAGCCTTCGGCTGTGACAGCTCAATATGTAGGTCATGTTTTATAATTATTCAATGCTTAAACTCCATCGAATGCTCCTTATTGTAACAACAGCATTTTCGTTCAAAGCATATAAAGAAAACTGCTTCAAGCCCAAAGTGCTACATCTTTTGGATATAGGCCAATATGTCGCCAATGGGCTTCATTTCGTGCGGGAAGCTGGCACGAGCTGCAGCCACACGTCAATTTGGAGGTGCGTGTTGGCACAGGGGGGGGGGGGCATGCTGATTACTAGCACAATATTTAACTTGGCGCTATTCGGTTATCCGGGCCCCAAAATTTTTTTGTCGTAGAGCTTGATCAGATTCGTGTATAAGGGTTATCTTACATGCTGATTACAGATATCACACTTTCTCCGCAGAATGTCTCCCGTGTAGTTACGATAGGTGTACGGTAGGAAGTCAAAATCATGAATTTGGATGGAGTTTGGTCCAGAGGGCTTATTCGACATGCTGATTACAAACTTCATACTCTCTCTCTCTCTGCATATTGGGACCTTTCCAT